CCCTCAATTTGAAAGAAACAGCGGATTTTATAAAGAGTTAATGATATCACAAACCCTGTCTTCCTACAAACAACGACGGTATAGACCCAGTAGTAACATATCTTTCGAGCGTGCTACAAGACAGAACGCCGTCGGTCATTATCCCCTGTTGATCTCCATTCAAATCATTAGCAAGGTCTGCAATCGGTCAACGGAGAAACGCATGAGCCACGTAAGGCAAGCTATAATGCAGTGCATTTCCAAACCATGTATTAGCCTAAACGCGGTTTGAAAGAATACCTCCAGTAGGCGCAACGGTCCTTCGCCGACAACACAGTCCTACTTAACTGACTGACTGCTACGCTAGCCGTGAAATCCTGTTTTCAGGAACATCGCAGCGGTTGGTCAAGTAGTTAAGGCTAACCTGATGTTGCCAAATTTTCGCATATTGTTAGCCGTCTCGTTATTGAAAAACTTTGATAACTATTATTAAAGTTTAATGAAAATTTCTTGTGCATCATCCTACTCGAGAGCACGACGGTGAAACGCAGAACTGCAAGAAAATAATCGGAAGCAGATCGCGACCATGGAAAACTACGTGACAATACATAAACGACAAACACAAAAGCTAAAATTAAAACAACTGATAATGGCATAGACGGAAAATGCGGATTTTCTTGAAACGAAAGCATTCTAGTCACAACTTGAGAACGGAATTTACAGTAAAACTCATTCGTTAACAAACATTTGAATCTCTGAACCAACGGAATTACCGCTTTGGCACTCTGCACTTTGTATTCCAGCACACGTCTTCGTACTTGCGACCTGCATGCAACTTTAACACCACCAGATCTCCAACGAACTACGATTGAAGTCATGATCACGGCTCATCATCGAGAAGGGCAACCCTGCACTAAATTTGATACCCCTGACAGATGGCTTCCACGTTGCGATGCAAGTTCATTGAGGATCTTACACCGGAATCAACGGCTGCAGTGCAATCACTAATTAAACAATAAAGGAACAATATTTATTAAAATATAACAACGATTTATATCATGTAATTCTGAACCAGTGTACACATGCCCTGGAAATTCCCTTTGTAAGAAATACACATTAACTCTAAGAAGCACTGAGACCCCTTAAAAAACGAATTTATGATTACCTTAGTTTCTCCCTTGTCACAAGCGGCGCCTGTACCAGAGTCGTTAACCAAGCAAGCGCGAGTTGAGAGAGCATGTCCGCATGAAGGGCACACGAAGCAACTACGACAACTGAAAGATTTGAAATGTAGAGCGCCGAACGTCACAACAGCTAACTGCTCTTCTCAGTTCATACTGTCATATGTGAGAAACAC